CCACTCAGGGTCAGATGAGGAACCAACGTACGCGCCCCTTAGCCCCGCGCAGTGGCGGCGGAGGGTCTCGCCCAACGCCCAACAATGGGCCTAGGTCCGTCGCGACGATCTCAGCATGAAGACGCGTGGCGCGCGCAATGACGTCGAGGCTATCGCTCTGGGCATATTCCCATTGTAGATCTCTGGTGGTCAGTAAAGCGGGTGGCATTGCTCGCAAGGCGAAGAAAAAATCATGCTGCGAGCCCTGAGGATGCCCCTCTCGGAGGGATTCCTCAGGGCCCCTTCTTCTCCTGTCGTGGCTCCCCGCGCGCAGCGCGACAATGCCGCCCGAAAAACAGACCGCCTGAAGCTCGCGTCGTTCTTCTGGAGCGAGGGGGCGGGCCCACCTTCCGAAAAAGGAAGCGAACGAGGACCCAGCAGTCGCTCCGCCGGCGGCCGCCGCTGTCGCCGCTGCCAAGCCTGCGTCCTCCACGGGCGCTGCGTCCGCCGCGCCCGCCACGACCCCCACGTCGTCCTCCACCACGTCTGCCACGACGTCCGGCGCGCCTGCGCCCACTGACCAGGGGGGGGCGCGCTCGGCGACCGCCGCGGGGCCAGCGGCAGCCACGCCGCCAGCCCTGGCTGCGCGGGCTGCGCCTGCCACGTGGGCTGCTGCAGCGCTGGCCGCGTCAGCCGCGCTGCTGGCCCCTCCTACAGTGCAAGCCCATCTGTCAGCGCGGTTAGCCCCAACCGCGCCAGCCACGTCAGCTCCAGCGCCTGCTGTGGCAGCTGCGTCGGCCCCCCCTCCAGCGTCTGCCCCGCTGTTAGCGTCATTAGCCCCAGCAGTCGCGTTGGTCGCAATGCCACTGTTAGCCCCAACAATGTTGAGGCAGTCGTTCAAACGACGACGCACCTGTCGTTGGCGCTGCCTGCGAGCTGCAGCGTCGCCATCATCCAGCTGGGGACTTCTGGCCAGCAGGCCTGCAGCGAACCATGGCTCAGGCGTGGCTGCAGCGAGGCGCGGCGGCCTCGCAGGCGAGGCAGGCGAAGTGAAAGCGCGGCTGCGCACTGTGCGGGCGACGCCCGGCGCCGACGATGCAGCTGCAGGCGCCAGCAGTGCAGATGCCGGCGCCGGCTCAGCGGCAGGCGCTGGCGACGCGGCAGTCCAGCGCGCGAGCCCCGGGCGGGCTGCCTGCTCCTCCGCGCCCTCGTCGTCCGACAGCAGTAGCCCCAGCAGTTGATCTCCAAGCCTGGCCCTGCTTAGCGCCGGGCGAGCTGGCCGCTGAACACCGCCATCATCGCCCGACAGCAATAGCCCCAGCAGCTCATCTCCAAGACTGGCCATCTACGCTGAGATCGCTGCGCGAGCCAAAACGGCCGCGGGGAAGCAGCGCATGCTGCGCGGGGCGACGAGGAAGAGAAGGAGGTGGTGGGAGGAGGGGGAGGAGGAGGAGGAGGAGGAAGGGGAGGCTGAGACACAAGAGGCAACGGGGATTGGAGGTGGAGGAGGAGGAGGCGGAGAAGGAGGAGGGGGAGGAGGAGGAGGAGGAGGAGGAGGAGGAGGATGGCAGGGGCGCGGGATTCCCGCCTGCTGCGCCCCCATTGTCGCAGCGTCGCATTGGACGCCGCAACAAGGGGGAGGGGATAGCGAGGAGCGAGGGTCAGCAGCGAGCCCACTGGGGGCCCTCTCCATGGAACCCTCTTCTTGCTCAGAGTATTGGGGGGGGGGGGGCCTCTTGTTTTTTTTTTTTTTTTTTTTGTTTTTTTTTTC